AGGTGACCGACAGCTGGGCGCTAGGCTGTTGCTGGCGGTGAGGGAGAGAGTGAGGTCGACTCTCAGCGCGTTTCCTTCCTCACTAAAACAATCTGATGCGCTTGAAGCTATAAAAATACGCTAAAAGCCGTGTTTTGGAGGGTTGCCAACTGACGGGATAACTTGGACACCAAAGTCGACCCAGTGTGTGTCTTGTTGTGTGGAGTGGCTGTCTGTGGGCTGAAAGTCAGGCTCAATAGCTCCTTCTTTATGTGCCCTTTATGGCGCTCCCCTGCAGGAGCCTACCTAGCAAGGTAGAAGGTCTTCTCGATTTTTGTCTTGACATCGGGTTCAGGTGTGGGAGTGGTCAGAGAGTGGGATAGATCCGGTAAGTATATCTATCAGTCGCAATCACCGCGCTGCTTCAGCTTGTTGAAGCTCGTGGTGGACATCGTCGAGAGCGACGGTCGAACTGTCGTATGTGGCTCCATAATACAGACCTCCGCGCAGTCACGCCAATACCTGGCTAAGGACTCCTAAACCTGTCAACTCTTGTGTTGTTGATGACATCTCTGAGAGCGGACTCCTGCGCAAGTTCGAAAACTCAGGAATATGCAAAAAATGATTTAACTATTCGAGCAGCATTCTAGACGTGTCTCTCGAACTTGAATGTTGGCTTCCATTCTCGAACTGAAAAAAGGCGCTTCTGCGGCTCCATCTGCGAGTAAAAAAGTAGAATTCACACAGTTACCTGCGTTGGCGGACCAGAAGGAGCCCGGGAGATGATGCGAGGCGAGGAGGTAATAACGGCCGGATGACCATCGATACCGGCGTTCGAGACGGCGAAAATACGGATTTTGTAGAAGGAGTCGGGCTGCAGGCCGTTTATGACGTAAGACGTACTTCGGAAGCCACCAGGAACCTCAAACCGGGCCCATTTGGCGTCTGACGACAGCGTCCACGAGCTGTGGGCACCCGGTCGCCCAAGCGCGAGGTTGAGCAGCATTACACTAGAAGAAATAAAACAAACGAAAACCACATTACTCAAATCTTTTAAGTAGGCTGTGTATTATACAAACAAGCATAGTTTTGGAACAAGTCCAACCTGTAGTGGTTAATCTGCAACTCGGGCATGTCAGTTCGGTCAACTGTCGGTGGTTCCCAGGAGATTTTCAGTGCTGCGAAGTCCGTGGACTCTGCCTTCGGATTCTGGACCATCGGCAGACGAACAACTATTAGGGAGGCAGGAAATGAGGGATGTTTTCAGAGGTCCCATAAATGGCCATAAACAGCTGTCAAATCA